GTAGTAGTAGTAGTGGTAGTAGTATCGGCGAAAGCCTTCGTAGTGCATTTGCAGTAACCGCAACTGTTGCTATGATCTAGTTGCAGTAGAACAGTTTGCATACTAGCCGGAAAGTTCTGTTGCACAAATTCGATGACGCCATGCTCCGAAAACAATTTGAGAATCCCTGCCTTGCGCCGCCAAGCGTAAACAACAGAGGCTTTGCAACGCCCATTTCGGCAGTATTTTGCTTGCCCTTTTGACATGAATAGTGTGACTTGGCAGCTGGGACCGGCTTGTAAGGGAGGTATATGTTCAGCTCGGTTGTGCTATATACTGACGAGAAATTTTTTCTCGAACATAGGCAGCCGCTACATTCCCAGGCCGCTGAACTCCAAGCGCAAACCGGCTTCCAGTGTTTATGGAAAACCCGGTGCCTCGTCAGTGTGCATGGCCTAACAGATTGCATGCAGTGGGCAGCAGTGGTCGAGAGAAACAAATGTCGCGAACAAGGCTGCAGCATTCGTCTTCCCTGTTGGCTTTCGGTGTATGGGGTAAAGTCTTAGACGATTCTTTTCTGGAGAGTTGTGTCGTCAGCACAACTCTCTGATTCGGAAGACGTGCTGTATGAGAAGTATCCGATGTGCATCATGTTCTTTCAGTAGTCGGTATATGGCACGCAGTTGCCACGATGTAGGTGCGAGCATGCACCGAGACTTGAAGACTTGACATTGTACGGTCATGCCACGAAGGCCACATGTGGCATACTGCAACTTCAACGCAAGACGACCCCCCTTAACTCTGACAGCCCGAAGGTGGAGACTGTGCCTCTTTGCGCCTCGGATGAGAAGATGAGGTCTTGACAGGCATCAGGCGGTTTGGGGCAGGCTTTGTGGGTCAGAGCCAGGCGCTGCAGCCCTCCTTCCCAATCCCACCCGCTTCCACTCCCCACTGCCCTGCTAATTAAGAGCTCAGGAATATCACAAACCTCTGGCAAAAGTTCATGCCTGGCTCGGCACCGCCCAAGGAGTCGGGGCACCAAGGACAAAATAGTGCAGTCCTTCGGACAGCGTGGACCTTCAACCCCTGCACCCCCTTTGACGTAAGAACACCGGATCTGGATACCAAGGTTGGGGGAGAACAGAGAGTGGAACGCCAGCACCTCAAGATCCAAAGTTTGGTACCGTGTGGACATGTCTGCCTTTTTCACCTTTGGGGACAAAACGTATGATACAGTACGTGGTGTCTGATGCCTTTTCATGATTTTTATAAGCATTTCGAGGTGGATCTGATCCCCAAGTTCATCATGGCCTCGGGCGACCTGGTGCCTCTCCGAGCAGGGGTCAAGACTTCTTTTGGTTTTGTTTCTCCTCTCTTGCGAGGTGAAGATCTTGTTGAAGACGAAGGTTTCGCGATACTTGGAGCAGATGCCTTGGAGACTAGCCCCACATTCTGGCATGGATCTGCTGAGGCGGCAGTCCACTCATGTACCGAAGCCTGTAACGGCTGAGGTGGAAATCTTGCGAGGGAACCTACGTCTACCAGCACAGCGCTCGGGATGTGATTTTGTCAGCGTTTTTGAGGCCCTTCCAGGGTGTGTGTGTGTGTGTGTGCAGGTACCAGGAGGCGGGCCTGTTCTCGGGTGCCAAGTACATCCACAAGGCGGGCAAATAGGTTGGGAACAGTTTCGGTTCTCCTTCGCCGTGAGTCTGCATGTGCCATTCAGAGACCTTTCTTTGGCATCCGCTTGCGAGGTGCCAGCCACCGCCACAGACGGCTTAAAGTCCCCACTGATGGGGATGCTCGAAAAGCCGGTGCCCGACACATCTTGATTTGTTCAAGCTTCGTACGATTCTTCCGCCCAGCATCACCCCCTGGTGCGATCGGACGATAGGGGGCGGAGCAGTGATGCGACGTTGATCGTGGCTCTCTGGTTCCTTTGTTGCGTAGTAGTAGTAGTAGTAGTAGTAGTAGTAGTAGTAGCAGCAGCTCTAGATGTTTGAACAACCCACGGGCCGCAAGGATTCTCCCAGACACCCCTAAAGCTGCAAGGGCCGTGTTTTGGTTTGACGGTTGAGGCTTTGTAGCACAATACCCAGGCCACGCTTCATCAACTTTGCACAGTTCATCATGAACTGGGAGGCCCCTGACAGCTTCGCGTTTCAAGGGCTCTGCTTCAGTGGGCTTGGGCTGTGTATGGCTCTGCGTTTGCCAAGCTCTGGCTGCTGCCTTCCCTCCTTGCAGGATGACAAGCCCGGAACGCACCAGGACATCGACCCGAGGCTTCTGGGCCGAAAATGCCTTGCGCAGCTACTTGTAGCGTATCGGCGAGAATCGCAGTGCTGATCGGGATGCATTGACATAAGCCCATCCTTGAGGTTCGCTGGCATTAGTTCTGGGATACTCTGGTGCATTCAAGGCGGCACACCATGGCGCAGGTGTACCAGAAGCCTGTGCCCAAGACCACACTTTGTATCTTTAGAGCTTTTGTTCTTGTAATTCTTGGGATGCGAAGGGATGAAGCTTTCGAGGTTAGTGTTGCTTGGAGCGTCCAAAAGACCCGGCAAGTGTGAGCACAGTTGGTGAGGGGAGCCAGATTCCCACAAGCCGAGCTGCAGCTGAAAACTCGACACCTCAACTCCGCAGCGATTCTTTTCCCAGTATTCACATCGTGACTCTTGGCACGTTTTGACATGAGCTGTTCAGCTGGCCTTCTGCAAGGCATCATGCGCAGCCCAAGAGTGAAACGCTTGATCTTCCTTCCACCCTTGAGCGTGAGCCGCGGGCAGAGCTGTTCTGCTCTCCACTCTCCGAGGTTCGGCCTCCAGGAGTCCACCATTGACTTCATTGGCCACGCCGTGGCCTTGCCGGAAGCTCACGGGAGCTCACGGGAGCTCAGGGGAGCTCACGGGAGCTCGAGGGCGAGGGCTCGGATAGCTCGTCTTCAGAGGTCTGTCGTCTCCTCAGGCACCCCAACGACAGCTACCTGAACGGACCTTGCGGACCAACAATTCAGAAGTGCAGGCCACGGGAGCGTCAGCTTATGTATTCTACTTGGATCGTCTGAAGATGGCGTGGCTGTTTGCTAATCCCCAACATCTCAATGGCCCCTACCAGAAGCTGCGTATCAGCCCTCACTCAAAGAGCTCTCAGAGCCAGGCTGTACCTTCAGTCCGTGCTCCAGTACGGAGGCGATCCGCCTCTGGGTTTTGCAGACTCAGGGTTCAGAAGGACAGACGTAGAGGTGCGGTAACGGCACTGCGCGCCTTCTTTTGCGTATGCTCCCTGTCAGGCTCACCTTTCATCTACCCCATCTACGGGCTTGGCGGCTTGCCAGAGGGTGGGCCACCCGGGGCTCCATGATTTTCATCATGGGTTCTGGAGACGCCATGAGTGGCTACTCAGACACCGAGGCTTCTCCCGCCTTGCGGCCATCCATAGGGGAACATACATGCACCTCGCCTGCAAACCTTGTGCGCTATGTGGTTGTGATTGTTGGCGTTGTCGTCGTCTTCATGGTCGCGGTCGTGGGCGTGGTGGTGATGTTTGGTTGGTTGTTGCTGTTGTTGCTGCTGTGGTGGTTGTGGTTGTGGTTGTGGTCGTCATCCTCGTTGTCGTGCCTGGACCGTCAGAACCAGTAGATGCTTGAGGAAGCTTTTTTCCATGGCTTCTGGAAGTCTCGTTCTGTGGCTCATGGGTTGCTTGACAGCAGGGGACTCGGAGACTCCGAAATCCGCCATGACTGCCTCCCGGGACGCAGGTTGAACAAGTCAGTGGATGGCTTTGCGTACGATGACACGGGCAAGGTGCAAATGCCTTGGGGTAGAGCGGGTGTTGCTTCATTCACGGTGTGCAGCCTCCAGACCAAAGTAGGACCAACGTAGTAGCATATTGTGTGTGTGTGTGTGTTTTTGTTCATAACTTGGTACTGGGTAGCAAACAGAACATCCTAGAAGCCAGGCAGCAAGCAGGGCAGCCGTTCGGAGTGAATCCATCATGAGACACATTTTTGTGAAACCTGAATGTCTTGATCATACTGACTCACGGCGAATCCTATCCGAGCTCACCGGGGCAAAGCGGGCTGCAGCCAGCCTCTAGAACTCCATGCGAACGCGAGAAAGCTCCATGCCCAGGTGTGCGGTGTTAAGTCAGGAGACGAAGTTGCCAAGTGCGCCCTTTGCCTTTTTCCGCCCAGCATGCTCTTGGCGCTTCCAAACATAAGGCAGGTCCACGGTGCACGGGTCACGGATGAGGGCACGATCGTCACATGTTGGATTGCTTCGCAGCATATTCTCCTGGTGACATGCATAGGTGGCTCTTGATGTTTCGAATCGAGTCTGCACGACGGTCTTCACTCAGCCTGTGGCAAGAGCGAGACTACAAGACGACATCAAGGGCATACCGTATTCAGCTTGGCTTCGCAGCAATGGCTACGGTGGTTTGCCGCCATTGGTTAAAAGGACCTCGCATAGTCGGCGTTTCGTGATTTTGCGCGTTTGCCGTGGCTTGTCATCCAAGTGCTATAGATCAATGCACAAGCCCTGGACGACTTATCCAAGCTACCGAGCGTGCAAACCCATGAGACGATTGAGGGCCTAGAATGCGCAATTTGGTGGACACTTTTCTCTTGCTTTGCGACTGTTGCGCCGCAGCAACGGAACCGAAAGAAATGGCAAATCATCTGAGGGTCTCAGAGTCAGTTCAAGCTGAGTTCAGTTGGGGGATGTTGCTGTCCTGAGCACGAGCAAGGAGTTCTTTCATCAAGGCGTAACGGTGCCCGCTCCGGCAGCTGCTTTAGACTGCTTTCTTGCAGGGGAGAGGCAAGAAGCTTCCGTAGGCACCCGGATGAGCATGCGACACATATCCGGTCTGGCAGTAAGAACCCTACTGTGAGAATGCTCACCGATCTCCATGGCCAGGATACTGCGAGAGGGGCCCCTCCTGCAACTTCATGCACCCGGGTCAAGGCCGGCTCTTGTTGTCAATGGTCCGTTTGGACGGGAGGCAATTTGCGGATTCTGGCAAGGCAGGTGTCATGTCATAGTCATCCAGAATTGATTGAAGCCGGACACCGACAGTAGCTGCAGGGGTCATTGATAAGCCTGCATTGCTCTGAAAGGGGCTGACGGTGGCTGGTCTGCCGGGATCTCGGTCGGGTCGAGAGTTGCAGGCATCAGAAGGCAGCCAAAGCCGTGCGAGGACAATTCCGCGCAGGCCGTCAATGCCGGAGAGGCATGGGGCCGGGGACTCAGCAAGATTCTGGCTCACCAAGTCCGGTGCTAGAACTTCTGTCTTTTCAAGCGTGCGTCTACAGATCCGCATCGCCAAAATCTCCGAGGTTTGGTGATTTCCCCGTGGAGCTTGTGAAGCAATCAGTGTGCATTTTGTTCCGTCATGTTCCGTCCAAGGCCCCGATCCACGGAAGCGCATGAGCACATCGCCGCTTGGCGCGTTGCAGCAGACATACAGAGCTGACAGCCACAGCTAGATTCTGCCGCAGGTGGAAGCCAGACCGAACTTGAGTGCACTCGTGGGCGAGGGAACGGTGTTTGCCTTCTGTCTTGTCACAAGCAAGCAAAACGGAGGAAGAATTTGACTGGACTCTGCCGGTCTGGCTGTGGTGTATAGGCCCACCAGCACCAGCATCAGCGCGAGCACCGCCACCACCAGCACCCCACAATTTGGAACTGGGGCTGGGGCTTATCATTTTATGATGCATCGCTTTTTCTGGAGTCTGTCTTGCGCTGTCAGGTGTAACGCTTCCCCCGGAACCTGTAGCAACAAATCCTGACTTAGTCGGGAAAGGTTTTGTGATTTGCAGCCTACGATAGAAGGGAGTTTGCCTAATTAGCAGGAGCTCCTTCCCCACTCAGAAGCCCTTGCCCGTTCTGCCGAACAGCAATCTACCGGGTGCACCAAATTTCTAGGACGACCACGACCACAATTAGCCAATTTGCTCGACACATGCAGGGAGGGGCCCACGGCGAAGCGGCACAAGTCGGTGCCGTGCCGCCACTATTCGCGCGGTTTCTGCCAGCTGGGTGACAGCTGCAGCACGGGACTTAGACAAGTGCCCGAGGTGTGAAAAGGTACAGTTCTATGTGTGTTGTGTGTGGCGCGGTCGCTTGCAGGGCTTTGGGCCTCGGAATCTCATTGGGACCAGGGCACCAGCTCAAGGCCCACAAGTTATCTCAAAGCCTTTTTGAACCGGCCGAGACTTCCTCCACGAGCCGTCGCTGATGGTGGGTCCACCGAACTTCCTCCACGAGCCGTCGCTGGTGGGTCCACCGAACTTCCTCCACGAGCCGTCTCTGGTGGGTCCACCGAGGGTAGTGCCGCCGCCGACCCGGCAAGCAGGCGCTTTTCCCTCAAGGGTTCACAAGGTTTTGCTACCTTTCTGGCTCTGAGTAGGCTCTTCGTTAAGCTGGTGATCGTTTGCGCTGGAAGTGAGTCCAGAGCTCCAGAGCTCTGTGCTAGCAGGATCCATTCCTCGGTCCTAGGTGTAAAAACGTCGCATCTGCGGGAAGGCACGCTGCCTGTTCCGGTTGCTGTTCCGGTTGCTGCTCCCGAAACAGAGGCTGCGGAGCAGGCCAACCTCAGAAGAGGATTTAGAAGATATTCCGCTTGAGACCATGTTTGGGGAGTTGGCAGACTCGTGGGAGAGGAACGGATTGACCGAACGAATCAGATGTGAAATGAAGGGACCTTGCTTCGGACAGCCCAACAAGTGAATCCCAGCCACCCAGCGAAGGCTCCGCAAAGCGACTTCGGCGAGACGGCCCAGTCTGTGGCGCCCGCAAGTGGGCGCACCTACAAGAAGTCGAAGCTATGCAGCTTGGCTATCATCGCATTACAGTCAGCTGCAGATTCTCTCCAACACCGTTGCTTCTGTACGGAAGGCCTTTGCAAGCAGGGAGCACGGCATAGCACGGCACACATGGTCTCGGCTAGTCTGTTTTGTGATGAACCCTGCGCGCACGTTTTGAAGCGATATACACGGCCTGGCGCGGACTATTCTGGCATCGGAAATGCAGAAGCTGATACTGGCTACAAAAAGAAGAGCAGCAGTTAGTCTGATGGCGGTCAGCCGGTGTGCTAGAGCGAGGTATCCATCACACGAATGGCTACTGCAGCCGGGGCTCTACCTGCAACTTCGCCCATGGATGCTTGGCACTGAGCAAAATAGTGTGATAAAGTGACCGTGGGGACTTTTGGTAGCTGCTTCCGACCTGTTGTGGTTTCTGCAAGACGGTTGTCTGCACATCGTCCGCCTCACCTGTCTCGTGTTTTGCTCTTCAACTGCATCCTCCGAGGAGAGCATGAGCTCGGGACACCCCAGCCCTCAGATTCTGGTGCCGGCTGGTGACCTGGCACTGAAGACCGTCGGCCACTCTTGCAGTTGGTTTGGGGCTTCTGTGTTGCACTTCTTTCCGTCTCGCGACCTTTGAAGAATGTTGGTAACAGCGGAGCATGAGTCGAGTCGATGCTCCCACCCAGGGCCGCGCAATCATCAGCTCAAGAGGCGGACCGGGGCCTTCGCGATCATTTCCGCTGATGGAATGATGGCGATAGAAGCGTTGATGAGTCATACAGCGAATGGCAAGCAGGAGCAAGGGTGATGAGAACTTTACCACGGGCTCGGGATCCAGCCAGCCTCCCTGTTTCGAAAATTATGATGGGGTGCCCTGGTTGGCAGCGAAGCTGAGTATGCTCTGACCTAAGTAGACATCAAAAGCACTGCAGTGCGCTCTATGCAGGTTTCCTGTGGTGTTTGTCAACGCTTCCCGTGACGACGAGTGCAGAGTTTCACGAAAACCAGATATATAACATGTTACGGGCTTATGCCGGGGTTCAGATGCTATCTCAAACCCTGCAGGGCTGGCAGTCGAATGGCTGGCAGTCGAATGGCTGGCAGTCGAATGGCTGGCAACCGAGTAATTGGCAGTCGAACGGCTGGCAACCCAACGGCTGGCAAGCAAACGGCTGGCAGAAGCTTGGCTTTGCCGAATGTCAAAGGAGACTTATCAAGGGTTTAGGGTCGGATTTCAGTTTTGTGATCGTCTTGGGGTCTTAATTGAGTGTCCTGCGTCATATTACATCGGCGGATGGCTGAACTCAGCACGTTTCTGTCGACCTATCGCCACTCCCGTTTTTGTTTTACCTCGTCTGTTCACTCTTTCGTGATCGTCTGAGTGTTCTTGGGAAAGGGCAAGGAAGATAATAAATAATACGTTCGCAGCAAAAAGATAAAAAAAAAAACGAGGCGAACGAGGCATTGAGCTGAGCCGTGCCGTCGGATCGAAACATGCGCCCCAGGGCTGGCGGCAACAACGGTTCCTCACAATGTCGGCACTTCGCTCGCGGCTACTGCTGCTCGGCAGTAACGTGAGGCCAAAGACACAGAGGTTCCCCCATGCAGCATCTTTTCGACATCTGCCAACGAGTTTTCAAAAAGGTGCTTTGGGTGAGAAGTGCAACTTCGCGCATGACGGCCCACCTCCGCGAGGGCCCTGGTGCTTCAACTTTTCGGTGTTTGGTCTAGTGTGAAGAAGCTATGGGTCATGTTTTGCATGGAGAAAGTGACAGGCGTATCGGTAAAAAGACACAGCAGAATAATAATGAGAGACACGAGGCAAGACCTTGAAGGCCCGAATCCACACGTCCGAGTCAATATCGGTGTATTTGGAGCCTGACGGCACCACACTCCCAGCCTGACCTTCCGGACCCGCGACTGCCCGAACGCACACGGTGTCTCGAAGGTCATTCCCAGATGGCTGGGTGATCCGGACCAAGGAGGCGCACAGACTCCAGTGAGTATGCACAGCCTAGACATCCGTTCTCTGCGCAAAGGCTCTGGGCTTTGGGGTCGCGGTGTGGTCTGTATCCCAAGTTGCCCTTGATGGCGCACCTGGATCTCGCTGCAAGGAAATCCAGCTCTACAACTTCAAGACGACGCTGTGTCGGGACAGCCCATCGGTGCAGTGTGGCCTTGGGATTTCTCTGCACGTGCGATGAATGTGCCAGTTCTGTCCTAATTGTTCAGCTCTTGGCCCCAAACCTCAGTCAAGTTTCTTCTGGCCTGCGCCACGAAGCATTTCCAGATTCTTGTAGCCCGGTGCTTCTCACTACCTTGCACAAGCTGGATTTCCATTAGCAATGGGTATGAGACCCGAAGAAGGCGTTGGGATCTTGCAAGCTGCGAGCCCCAATACCCGTACCTGATTGTTTGGGATGCCAGCTGCTTGGTAGGACTTTCAGAAAGTGGGTAGCTGCCCACGTGGCGACGAGTGTCACTGGCACGCATAGTTGGACTGTGGCGGCCATTGGTCAGGAGTCAGTTGCATTTGCAAGGGATCAGTCTTGTTCCTTGGACCTGGGAAAAGCTATTAAAGGCCCCAGCAATTGCATGCAGGGGGACTCATGTACACTTGCATTCTGATGCGAAGGCAGAATAGGGACTCAGGGCATCTCTGGTTTTGATGTGCTTTGGGATGCAGCAAGTCGGCCGAATTTTTGCCAGCCCTAGCAATTCCCGGTAGAATTTGGCAAATACCGCGAGGCACCTTTGCCCATGGCGAAGTGGAGCTCCAGCAGCCAGGCGAGGTGCAGCAGGCCACTGTCCCTTTGTCCTGTTGGGTCAGCAAGTGGGTGCTTGGTCCCTCCGATCCGAGTTTAGGAGCCTCGATGGGAGAACTAGAAAACTCTGAACGACCGGCCCTCCCTTGAGCCTTGCGAGAAGTAAGACCACCGTCGACCTTCCAAATTTCGGCGAGAGCTCTTCCACCAGTAAAGAACCACAAAGATCACCCCCAGTGCTTAGGTTCAAGAGCACCCTGCACCCTCCTTGCTCACAGCATCTGCGCGCAGACCTTGGGCAGCCTGCAGAGCGGCCAGAAGTCGCAGTTCACGACAGAGGCGGGTTGGAAGCCTCTGAGTTCCTGGGAGTGCTCCAAGAAAGGGAGTGGCGCTCGAGCAGTGTCTGCTGCCATCTCTTTGTAGCACGCGCCGCAGCTCCTGGACACCACTCCGTGTCTCTCTTGACCAACTCCTCTTTTCTGGGATGTCCAGGAAAAGCAGCGGTACAACTACAAGACGAAGCTCTGCAGGGCAACCTGGCGGCACCAGACTCTAGCAGCTTAGGTTACCTGCACATCATGACACAGATCATAAAGCACTGAACCCCAGAGCTCCCTTCCCTCTTTCTTCACCAGGGAGTTGTTATAGTCGCTTGCTACCCATGGGTTTTCATCACCAACAGGTCTTCAGAGGCTCCCTTGAGCATTCAAGAGTGTGGCCAGTAGCGTTTTCCCTCCCTCAGCGTCAAAGTCCTTTAGACACGGAAGTTCTCTTGCAATCTCGGAAGACACTCAGGAGTTCAGTGCCAACGGGTCCTGCCCCCGTGGAGACATCTGTATTTTGGCTGAGACTTTCGCCAGAGCCGTGGGTGTCGTACATACACCGAGCTGAATCGCCCCGGTCTTCAGTAATAGAGCTTGCATGCCATTGGTCGCTGCGAGTTTTTGTTGCGTTCGTGTTCAGCTCTTCGGATTCGAGAGTCCATCTGCCGTCTTCAGGCAGCTTCGCCCACGGGCAGGAGGAGTTGCAGAAGCCCGGTGCGGTGCTTTAGGCGGCGATGCTGATGCCGTGTGAGACCGGCTCGGCCTTTGAGGTGGTAGCTTGAGGTGCGTAGGTCTTGCGCCTGAGTCCGAAGCGCACTGGCGATTCTCGGAAGCGAGAACCGCAAGCATCCCAGGATCAAGCAGTGCCCAGGCAGCCCAGGGGCCCGGTAGTGTCCACCGCCTTCCAGCTGCGAGACTCACGTTTGCGCTTCTGATTTTCAGTCCCAGGGCCTTACAGCTCGGCTTCCCGGCATGCCAGAGCCTTTAAACAGAGTCGAGACGCTTCGGGTCAGTGGGGCTCTTCCGAGCCCATCGTTGTTCTGCGACACCTCACCCCAATCTCATACTCGACCCCCCTGCGCAGATGCAAGATGGTCATCTGTGACCCCTCCTATGCAGAGCCGACGAGGCCTTGCCATGAAGCTCGATCCCAGAATCCGTTTGAACTCACTTGGAGCCAGAAACCCGAAGGACCCTGTTAAAAGAACTAAGCTGCTGGATTCTACAGCCTCAAGAACTCCATGACCTGAACCCCAAGAGCTTTAAGTCCTTGTGGGTCTTCACAATGCTGATATCTCGAGGACGGAGGTGAAAGGTCAAGTCATCCGCGCCATCTGCAGCGGGCCCAGAAAGCTTGGTTACTGCTTTGGCGCCTTTTTCGGGGGTAGAAAGGGGGCTCTTCGGGGGTCCACTTCTTTGCGAGGCATCCTTGGTGCCCCCATCCCGGAGACAAAGAACCAGGAGCAGAGTGGGGGAAAGGGCCGGGAAGGCGACACCCCAAACGCTTGCCAGGAGGGGAAGCCAGCCCTGTCGTGCCAGATCATCTTCCCGCAAAAGCAGTGCCGGCCTCGTTTGGGAAGCACTCCTGTGCACTCTTGTTCGTGTCGGGCAGTGGATACTTGCTTTTCTGTTTCATTCGCCGTTTGGGTTTGGGTTGTAACAGTGTACCAGTCTTTTCAGTCTCGTCTTGATTTGAATGCTTGATCCGCTTGCCCTGCTTACCAGTTCAGGAGGAGTGAAAAGAGGTCTTGATCTTTGCGCGGACAGAGCAACATGGCGGCGGTTGCACAGCCGTTGGGTTTCGCTGCCGGATGTTCGGATCACATGGCCTGCGCCGGAGAGGATGAAACACCAGCCCTAGGGTTAAAGCTAGCATGCAAGTCACAGGAGAAACAAACTCGCAGTTCTTTTTTTGCGACCTACGAGTCCAATGTTCACTTCCCTTGCTGAAAAGACCTCGGTGCCCACTCTCCACTGCGCAGGAAAACAATCACGAGGCACGGACATGTTGGCCTTGCGGCGGCACAGGAGCAGGGACCCGAACAACAAAGCAAGGTTCTCTTGTTTTGTTCGCAGTGCAGGCACGTGCGAAGGACCGGGAATCGCACGGAGACGGTCAATGTCCCAACATTTCCGCTTGTAATGATCCAGAGGCCTGCCATAAGCGACAGCAAGCCCCGTAACTAGGCCCATTACAGAAAGACAGCAGTTGCACAGGAAGGAAGGCCACTTCACTTTGAATCCCTGGAGTGCAGGCGTTACCAGCCACCAAAGCAACACGATAGGAAACCACCCCAACATCACCCCACCATACCACTCAGTGGGTTATTCGGCATCGACCGGATGAACCTCGTGGCGGCAATCCAGATGATCCGCAAGCAAGGTATAAAGTCGTGATCATTGGTGTTGTCCCTTCTCGTATCTCACTGCGAGACCGCCCCCCTCGTGCGCTTCTGCGGCTCATGATCGTGCCTAACGGAGATGGGGTGTTGGGATGTCCGAAGACACTTCATGTGCCCGAAGAGTTGCAGCAGAAGGTTGCATGATAGGGCGCGGTCTTAGAGACAGAGGGATAGCTTCAAGCTGCTGAGGCTGAAGCGTAAGAATGACGTCTATGTCATGCCCGACACTCAGAGAAAGAGCCCCCATGGTAGGCTGTGCCGGAGAGGCACAGGGCTCCATGCAGAGCGAACACTGGGCCGGTATGCTAGGAGGCAGTCGCATCTAGAACGACCCGATTCTCGGGTGAACTGTTGCGCACAGCCCAGCCGCAGCCGAGCTCAAAGACTCCTGTCGTGTATGCAAGGATGGTTTCATGGGCGCACTGCATCGCAGCGAAGGAGTCCTCTTTGAAGAAGGTATCTGAACAGCTCCCGGTGTTCCTTCGTAGTGCCTCACACGTTTGTTTGCGTCGTCGGCATCCTCCCATGCGGGGGTCGGACCTACGGTACGTACGTGTGGCAGCCTGTTGCAGCCCAAGTGCGAGGTTCCTATGTCCGAGGTTGTCTTTTGGCCTGTATGTTGGCGATTGTCGCAGCATTCCCTCAGAGAAGGATGATCTGTATTCGTAGCTAGTCTTGCGGTCCTGTTGTGGTGGGATTTTGTGGGTGTGCATAGGTGTAGTGCAGCTTCCGGTGTAATGCAAAGTCCAGCACCGTGTGTGCGTGTGGGCGTTGTGTATGTGTGTGCATGAAGAGATGATGGATAGAGCTTTGCTTCGACTGGGATGAGCCTGTTACGGTTACTTATTGCTAATAATCCGGAATCGCGAGGAGAAGTACGTGGCCATTGTGAGCACGGTGGTGGAAACTTCCAGCCTTCGTGGCCCGTTTAATGTGCCACGCTTCTCCCTCTCAGAGAGACCGGTGGGTTCGCCATCCCGGCATTCCAAGCGAAGAGATGCTTTCCGTGTCTCGCTGCGCCAGACCCGGAGAGAGAGATCGAGCCTGCCCTGAAGCTCCTGGGGCCCATCCAGCACAAGCCGGGAGCCCGCTGCTGGAGAGCGCCCCCCGTGTCGGGCCGTGTCCCAAAGCCTTCGAAGGTTCGTGCAGATCAGCGAGATCCGCGAGCCCGTTACGGACGGCACTGCTGCCCTGCCCTCGGCTCTCAGCTTCTCCCTTCCGCCGTCCGCTCAGCTCACTGCAAGGCAACTTCGCCCCAAAGTCCGTTGAATCAATTCTCGAAGTTGATTTTGCTGCCCATTGTTGAGAGCAGATGTTGCCAGGAACGATTTTGAGAGAAGCTTCCTTATCGAGGGGGGTAAGGGTAAGATATGTCAAGATCGCTCCAGCAGTATCCGCCAGAGAACCCTCCAAGCTATCGTGCAGCCGAACAGTGAGTCTTGCACTTGCTCCGTGTGTTGTGCGAACCGCTTTACAACACGCCGAGACCCCAAGTCAAGTCTGGCGGCGACTGAGCTGCTTTGATTGGACTGAACCATGATGAAAGAGTAAAGCCATCCTGCCGTGTCATCTTGCCTTCCCGTCTGAAGCGCCGTCGCTCTTCTCTTGCACTGAAGGCGCAACCCAGAACCAGTAGCCGTTTCGTCGAAAAGTCTCCGAAGTCTTTGCCACGCCTTGCCACCAGGATGGCGTTTTCGTCACGAGCAGCTATGACCCGTCTTCGCACTTTGAGGACCTCAGCGGAGTGAGAGTCAGAGCGAGCATGGGCCATGGCTTTGTATTGGAGGCGGTCTAAAGGCCCTCTCCTCGCGGAGCTTCGAGGTGTGCGTAGAGGCGTAGAGGGTTTGGGCGTGCCTCTGGGAGGATGCCTCCACCGAAGTGCTGGCGCTGCCGGGCTCCTAAATACTCTGGCGGGTTCGGTTCAGGGAACTTGGATTTTGTTAATGGGACGAAGCAACTACAATCACAAGAATCACAATGATGAGAAAACGGCTGCTAAACCAGCTCCTCCTGCACCCTCAGAACGATTATGTCATGTTATCACGACGAGGAGGAGCATGACGTGTACTATGGTGAGCGACTATAGGAATCGCTATGATATCAAATACTTGTCGTCACAAGCCAATGCATACTAAAGTCAGCGTGGCCACGGTTGGGTTGAAAGTTGTTCCTGCTATTCGTGACGGAACTGAAGGTTGGGTTGAATGCAACAGCGGGGGCAGATGTGTCAATCTGAGCCTGCGATGTCCACGCATGCCTGTCACTGCAGTCGGCTTAGGGAGCAGGGTCGGCATCAAGCTTAGTCTGTAGGCCTAAGGCTGTGAACTCTCTGACGCCATATTTTTGTTGTCCGTTTTATGTGTTTGTTATCGTTCGAAGCTCGGACGTGCGAGGCCCGTGATTGAAAAAACTCAGACACATCCCCAAGGCTCACAACAAATAGCCTTTGAACCAGGAGCTCATGTTCGAACATTGAGCCTTGAGGTGGAGGAAAATCACGGGCGAGAGCCTGGACCTCACCGTCCTCCCTGAGGAGGAGGCCTTTAGACGGGTTGGGAGACCCTTTTGTGCGAATTTGAGCCTCCTTGGTGGAAGTGTCTTTGCCAGCGGACGTCGTCACAGTTCAATTTTTCTATTCTTGTTGGTGCTGTAGGTGCTGCACCTTTGCTTTCGGCTCCGACCGGTACTTCCTCTGAACCCCTCTGTCTATCCCGGTGCTGCTCCGGTTCTCGTCTCCTGTGGCCAGGATCAGTAGCTCTTCGACGTCCTGCCCTCAGCTAGAGGCGGCAACGAGCAGCCTGAGAGCTTCCAGAGGGAAGGCAAAGGGTTCAAGGGGTCCTGTTGCTCTACAAGTGCAGCTCCTCCAAGAGCTCCTAGTCAACATCCAGCTGATACACCAAAGCTTCGAGAAAGGGTGACTGAACGGCTTTAGCTTGGTTGTTGACAGCCCCAAGCGCCGACGCCACGTGCGATTTCCGCTGAGGTCCTCGGTCGTGCAGTTGAGGCAAAGTTAGGAGTAGAGCGGACCCAAGCTGAGAGGGGACGGGGCGCTCGCAAAACCACGCGTTTCAGGCCCCGCAAGGCCCGGTCATCCCAAGAGCCCAAGGCCCAGCCCAGCCAAGCGGAAGCCTCTGATTTCGTCCTTGCGCCGTGATCACCCTCGTCATTCTTTTGTCAATCGAGAGCTACCTGCGCGCTCGCGAAGCAGACCGACGGTCCACAGACAGCTGTGCCGTGCAGAAAAAAGCGCAAAGCACTGTCTGCACACGGCCAGGGCTTCTAGGAGTGAGTCTCAGCTCATCCAATGCCAACTCGCGGATTGCCACGGGCTCAGACGCCCGAGCCCGAAAATCGGGCTGGGTGGGGGTATCCTACACGCCCCGTCCCCCAAACCGGATTGTAGGCTTTGGCGGTTTAAGGCCTCCGCCTTGTCGAGTTGTAGAGTCCGAGCACAGAGCCTGAACCACGGATCGATTTATTGGAAGCCATTCGGGGAGTGGGCGGCGATGGCCATCGTGCAATCGCGGAGGCGTGAGTGCTGTGCCCTTCCTGAGGCTATAGTCAGACTGTAGCCAAGTGGTTTGGCTTCGGCGCCTCTCTGACATGTTGCGAAGTGATTTCTGACTTTTGAGCGTGGGAGCACAACTAGGTTGGTTCCCCAGCAAGTCTGATGCGCGGGTTTACTGCACTGGATTTTCAGGCTAGCCACTGGCCCAAGGCGGCTTCAAACCAGGATTTGCTCGTGCGACTTGTCGCCGGCCGCCGGACCAAAGATCTTTGCTAGACCTCTCCGATCGCAAAACTATCGGTGTAGCTTGCGCCAATCTTTTTTGGCACAGGTCCATCTGGTGCAATGTAGTTGCCGGAGGCCCCAGGATATCAATGACCTTGAAAGGATTTGTCTCAGCGCAAAGTTTCGGGTTTTTCACCGCCATGGGAGGAGTGAAACCTTCCGGGCAGCTAGATGTCAAACCTGCGCAAAGTTTCGAAAGTCGGGAAGGAGCTCTTGGGTTTTGGATCTCAACCACCAAACAACTCAACAGGAACGCTGGCCGTGCAAACTGATTCCGAGGTCCTGGCGCTCTGGCTTGGCACAGCGGAAGCTGGCTGGAGCCTTGCAGAGAGATTTCCTGAGGGAAAAAATGCTGTGACGAAAGGAGAACACAACAGGGAGCTTCCCTGTAGAGGTCTGTACAGATCCAGGCAGATCCAGGCAGCCTCTCAGGCTCTTCATTTGCTCAGGTCCAGAGCAGCCGACACCCCTGTCGGAGAAGTCGACAGCTCTGAAGAAGGTCGTGCTTGTCTGGTGTTTCTGACTTCAAAGTATCTGAAATCTGGTCAGTGTAAGCCGGAAGCCCGCGTTATGCGAAGGAGTGACGGAGACCTGCGTTTGCTGAGACGATCACTGCCGGCAGGTTACGCAGCTTCTGACAGAGCTCACTTCACAGCTCAAGGAGGACAAGGAGGTGGGGAGACCCAAGAAATCCCGACAGCCCTCTCGCTGAAGTTTTTCAAACCCAACTTTGCGCCGCTAGCCGCTGGCTGGTGAGCGATCGGTCGGGGTTTGGGGGGTTCCGGGAAAGTGACGGCAATTCCCGGATCCGAGCTTAAGGTTCAAGGCCTGCTCACCAGAACGCCCAGGCAGATCAGAAGCAGTTCTCCGAGTATGAGAAGTTGACCAAGGCGCGCCACTTCCGTCTGTGGAAAGTGAGGTGGCTGTGCCACCAGATTTCAGGCTGCCAGAGCTGCCAAAAGTGTCCTCTTCAGAACGATAGGGTCGTGATGGCTTCGTCTTCTGAATCCGCAAAATTCGGCATTTCCCTCGACCCCTAGGCTGCTAAACTCGATCGGAAACTATCGGAGCCTTCGCAGAGCACCGAGAAAATCCTCTGCTCGAGGCAAGTATTACCTCAGCCACTGCCACGGTGGAGCAATGCACGACGCAAGTTGCTGAATTGAAGGCCAGTCTGATTTGACTCTGGAGTTTAGCAGTTTCAGTTTCAGGATGCTGTGGTCGGAATCGAAGGTGGTGGTTTGTGTAGCCAGCTGCTATTCTCGAATGGGACGCGGGCCACAACTTGAACTGCAGTGGCATGGCCCCTTTGATCTGTCATTATTATTTTGAGTACCTTCCGTGTAGCCGGACCTTTGTGTCCGGCCGGGCTGGAAGCTGTAGCGTGACTTCCACTTCCGGGTTGCGGTCTCTTCCCGCCCTGCCACACTGACCATCGCTTGGTATCGATATGAATAGCTCTTAAGTGCCCGGAGTCATCCTGTCGGTATTGCAAGATGCGTAGAAGGGTCACGACGAAGCTTCACATCAAGACTGAAAGACACGAGCGCCTACTCCCCGAGCTACAGGGCAGATAGATGGGCAGCATCACATGCTTCGGAGCCTGAACCCAAGCTCTCAATCTCGTAGATGGCCCGTCCGTCAGGCGAGCATCGTCACGGCGGAAGCTCTGCAGGCACTGGACAACTGGGGGGGTCCCCATTAATCCATAATCCTGGATGTTGCTGCTGTGCCAATTTCTCAACGCATCGGAACACCAGTCGCTTGGAGAAGGTTTCCTTTGCTGGTGTTCAAGCTCTTCGGGTCCTTTTCCTACCTGTGGAGTGCTTCGAAACTTCTTTGCGGTGGAGCCAGGCTGAAAAGAAGAGTCTCCTGGAAACGGCTGCCTCCAACCTGCTTCAGTCGCAGAAGGCATCTTCTTTTTCTCGGGGGGGGGGGGGGGGGG